ACACCCACACCCTCAAGATGGTATGGGTATACAGTATGAATATGAAATCATTTGTACACTACAATTACACCTACACTCAGACTCAAACCCACACCCACACCCACACCCTATCGAGTAGGTGTTAAATAGGTGCTCAGGTACCGAACAAGTGCTCGGATGCTGGTAACACATAACCTGCACTTTCCTCTTTGGATTCTATCCACAACCGATAATAGCACCTTACTATCAAGAGAGAAGAAGTGTGTAAAATTTAGTTTTCAAAACAATTATCAAATATAGCAAATAAAAGATTAAGAATATCTTTTATGTTTTAAAAATAATCAAGTTTAAATAAAATTAAATAATTTTTCACATCAATGAACGAATTGTTTTACAAACCAAACATGTGAATTATATTGTGTTTTCGGAAAAAAACTTAAGCCCGATCGTGAGTTCTCTACATTAACATAAGAAATACCTCGAGGAAAAACGGAATCTAATGTAATTGATGCATAATATATCTTTTCCGTAATATCAAATGCTGAAAGTGAAGTAATTCCAACATCTGGACTTTCAGAAATTATTCCAACATTTTTACTAATTCCGCCTGATGTTCGATCTAAAATTCCAACTGAAGAAACATATCGAATAGATGTATTTACATATGTTGTATACATTGTAAATGTTTTATAATCAAATTTCATACTAATAGGTGAATAATTAAGTTTTGCTTTCCAATCTACACCACCTTGATTACTTGTATTAACACCAGTATATACAAAAGATTGATCTTCAATCATCATAAGAAAATATTTTCTACAAATTGGACAATAACTTGATATATGAGTTGGTTTACTATCTCGAATTGTTGCTAAAACTTGTTTAATATTTCCATTATTTATATCAATTTCCGCCAATAATGTTACATTGTCCTTCTCAGTTTCAATATGTGCAAATAATTGTTTTTGAAATATATCAAATTGAAGAGAAATAATTGTATTCGATATTGATTTAAATGTTGATATTAAAATTCCAGTTGTTGCATTAATAACACTTAAGATAGGTCTATTATCATTATTTGGTGCTGCCATATAAATAACATCATCATTTGGATCATATGTTAATGGTAAAACAGCATATTTTATACGTTGAGGATTGCCAATATCATTAATATTTAATGAATTGAAAATATCAAAATTTTGTGTATCAAAATTGAGTGATCCATAGTAAACTTGTGTTGTATTAGAATCAGAAAATATACCATGAAGAATTCGTGGTGGATCTTGTTTAGCTAAACAATTTGATATTATCATAGCGAGAAGAAAATAGATTTTCATCTTTATTCACGAATATTTTGTGAAATTACAAAATAAAATATGATGTTGCAATTGTATTTTGCTTCTTTTTTATACTTGAGATTTCTTATCTTTTTTTCTTTCTTTGTATGACAATGAAGAAAATGAAAAAAAAGGTATTGTAATGATGACTTCTTTTTGTGTACTCAAAAACTGAGTACATTATAGAATTGGTCCGTGTGTCCGTTCGTTTACACGATAAATTTTGAAAGAAGAGTTGGATCGAGCTGAAATTTTGTGCATAATTCTATCTTGTTAACATCTCGACCGAGTTCGAAGATAAGAAGAATTCATAAAGAAATGACTGAGTTATTGAGAAAATACAAATTTATTTTAAAATAATTCATCAGAAATCTTGCTCAAAGAAAAACTAGTAACACTCGTCCTTTGGATTTACTGACCCTATACTGAAAGAAACTACTGAGAGGAATATATATTAGACAGATTATAAGGTATGAAGAGTTCAAATGTGACGCTTTATTTACTCGTTTGTAGCAGAATACCATTTTTAAAGATATATCTTAACGGAAACGTATTCATATGATAAGAATAATTTTCAGTTCGATTATTAATAAAAAAAACGCTGACGTTCATTTCAGAATATAATGCTAATACAGCATGTACAATTTACTGTTTAGGTAGGTAAAACTGAATGAGAGATAGATTTATAATGGATTACTAAAAAGATACCATCTTGAGGGTGGGTGTAGGTACTGATAGAAAAAGAATGCAACACCCACACCCTGATCTTATCTTCTGCTTTTCACAAAAAAATCAAATCAACAATAAGAAGCTATCCAGTATAAAAGCGTAGATCCGATTTCTACAGCATTCATTATTTTACATATTACTTTACTTAAGTATTGTTATTCCTGCTATTGAAGTTTATCGATGAGTGACGACTCAGGGAGATTAACATAACTGTCTTATTGTTTCAATACATGACATTGTATCTTCGTTGAAATAGTATTTCTTCTTTTTCTTTTTATATGGTTTTTATTAGACTACAGAGACAAAGTTCGTCTAAGTCATCCTCCCCCCTCTTCCCCTTGTTATGCTACGTTCTTTTATCCTCTCTCATAAATAAAGCAATATACTACTGCTATAATTTCCTCGTACACTATTATCCCCAATCAACTATCACAAATATTAATGTATCAAATGCACTACCTAAAGACCGATACATATGACAAAATGATCCCAACTATATCGTTACAATAGAAATCGCACACGAAATAAAACACTTCTATTTATATTTTATCACGAAAACAAGCGAATAAAAAACATTTGAAATATTCATCAATGCCTTCCGGTAGTGACCAGTATATCGTCCATATCAACACTTAATATTTTATCACTCTTTTGTTCTCTTCCACAAATCCATCGATTTCATAGCGAACTTTACTTCCGGTTGTATTATCGTCGTCATTGTGAGTGGTAACTGTGTGCGTCAAAACCTACAGACGAATATATGACATACATGAGGAAGAAAACAATAGTTACCATATTATTTTGTACTGCATCTACTAGATGCTGTCCTCCAACATCTCCAATCTGATTCGATTCGAGATTCAACTCGGTGAGCGTCTGCATGGCAAAGTGCAAATGAATATATGAAAGAGATCAAACAGAGAATGACAGTTACCGTATTCTTTCGTAATGCATCTGCTAGATGCTGGGCTCCAACATCTCCGATTTCATTACTGCAGAGATTTAATGTTGTCAGTGTCTGCATGAAAACGTGCAGATGGACATACGAAATAGATGAACAAGAGAATGATAGTTACCGCATTATTTTGTAATCCGCCTGCGAGATACTGTGCTCCAACATCTCCGATTTTATTGGCGCCGAGATTTAATGTGGTCACTGTCTGTATGAAAACATATGAGAGAGGTTAGAAAGAGAATGGTAGTTACCTTATTATTTCGTAATCCTTCTGCAAGATGTTGTGCTCCAGTATCCCTGATTTCATTATTCCATAGATTTAATGCGATAAGGTTCTGAATGAAAAACGTGCAGATGAATATATGAGAGAGATGAGAGAGAATGATAGTTACCGTATTATTTCGTAAAGCATCTGCGAGATGCTGGGCTCCAACATCTCCGATTTGATTGTATTCGAGATTTAATGTCATCAATGTCTGCATGAAAACATGTGAGAGAGACATCAGAAAAAGAATGATAGTTACCGTATTCTTTCGTAATGCATCTGCAAGATGCTGAGCTCCAATATCTCCGATTTCATTACTGCAGAGA